GCGTTCTTCTTCCTTCCCGGGTTTCGGCACCAGTGTAGTAAAGGTTCAAGAGGGTGGAAGGAAGAAGGCAGGGTCGGCTTGCTGGGACGCGAGCTTTATTTAAATTTCTCTTGCACCGCATACAATATGGCGCTCATTCAGGACTGTCAGACTCGCAGTCAATAACTCATAACAACCATAACACAACTTGCTTCCGTGTATCTACACCCGTCTCCCTGGGTGGCTCGCGTTCCCAGTCCGTCTCTCCCTCATCATGTTCCAGGTGGCCCCTTTTATCCGGTCTCTCCACACCAATTACTGAAACAAGACACAGGTGTTTATCATTTGCGCTTGACCTATTTACGCACCGCTCGTCTCCTGCCTCTCTCTCTCGATGCAGACCTCGCTGAACCACGCCCCCCTCGCCACAGTTATATTATATTAATATGTTTCAGCACATTACAATCATTATATGGCTTGAGTTAAGAGCCTATTCCCTAATGAATTAAACAGTTTTTTAACATACAGACTGAAAGCGTGAATGATCTCTCTCCGTTTTATGGGTGTGTAGCCTATACATGCGGGAGAGGGGTGCGATTTTTGAATAATAATCGAATAATACCAAAGACTATCCACCTTATTTTTCCCGTAAGAACGGCCGCAGCCATTTGTAAATTTAATGTGTCTGGCTTCCGGTTTCATCCACTTCCAACTATTTTTAGCTGCACAAAACAGCTCGTTTTGCGGCTTAATATTTCAAACTGGTGTGTCTTGTCATATTATTTTAATGTATTATCTTAATTATGAACACACTGGTTTGTAGTGCAAACAGTTTACTGCACTTTCTTATTCTTCTCGTTATTTCCCTACAGCGGCTAATTAACCGGAAGTCTCGCACATTGACAGAAAATGGCTTACTTTTGCGTTGAAAAATAAGGTGGATCGAATCATATGCTGCGTCCCAATTCGCATACTATCCATCCTAAATAGTATTCGAAAATAGAATTAGTATGTCCCAAATCATAGTATGTAGGGCTGTGCAATTAATCGCATGTGATTACTTTTTTTTACTACACAGAGCCGTAGTTCACTGACAAGCTAGGCAATATCGCGTTCATAATCGCAGATGAATCGCATTCGATTATGAACGCAATATTGCCTAATTATCAGTGAACTACGGCTCTGAGTAGTAAATGCCGCTCCATCTGAAAGCAGGTGATGGAGATTTACTACTAATCACGGAACCGGCTTTACTGACGAGATGCGCGTGACAATCGCATATGATTAATTGCACAGCCCTAATAGTATGTTTAGAAAAGTATGCCTAAGATTCCTGGATGGTCTACTACTTCCGGTTAGAATTCGAAGCGCAGATCGATGCACATGTTTAAAAAAACTACAAACATGGCGGATATACATGTCTGACGGACAGGTAGAGAAAGGGATTTGAGTGATAAATAATCAATGTCTAACCTGATGAAAAATATTAATTTAATGTTATCCACGTTATATTTCATCTGCAGCAACACTGTGAATTTTTATAATACATTTGGTCATTAACTTTTAAATGCATCACTATGCAAACACATGAGCAGAGTTCTCGGCATGATAGACTAGCAGGTCAACGTGCCTCTTCATTTCTCTCCAATACGGTAGGAAATCAAATTAAACGAAATGTGGATAATGTTAACTGTGACAAGATGATTGACAGGGCCGTTTAAACGGAGACAGAATGCATGTATCTAAGCAACAGAGCGTCCGTTAAAGAAGCAGCTATGACAAAGTAGTATGTCCCAAAGCTTGCCTACTATTCTTC